ATAACAATAATACCTGTAATAATATTATTAATAATAATGACATTGTATAACGTTCGTTAATGATGTTTGTCACGGGTGCTGGAAGCAATCATAAAAGTAGGGGAGGGGGGCAGGCCCCAGTAGAAAAAGTGGAGGGGCTATTATGGCCCCTGCTTCTGCCACCGTTGCAACAGACGATTTCACCCCATTTTGCCTAGAATGTTTGACCCCACTACCCCTTATTTTGGTTTTGCCGTCAAAGTCATTGGAAAAGCATGTAAGATGAACCCCAGGGGTTGGGTACGATTCCCAGTCCCCTTTGAAAAACACCAAAACTGGTCAACTTCAACCCATCTAGCACATGAACCAAATTTTGTCAAAACGAAAATACTATGAGTGTACGTTGTAAAAAAACTTAAATCTTACATGATAACAGGTTGGGAGGGTGATGTAAGAAACCCCCCACCCAACCCACAAAGCACCAAATCCTAGCCACTTTCCTATCTTAATGCATTGGCATTCCCATCACAGTCCTATCATAAGTTAGTTTGCAGTGATTATGATCTATTTGATGAAAGTCTCCATGCTCTTACCACCCCAACCTTGTACTATGCATGAAAATGTACTGTATTCCTAGTGTATTATGAGTAAATTTACCATACAATTAAAATTGAAACGATACTAGGTTTAGTGTACAGTGATTCGTGCTTGGAATAGGCCATTCAATTCATATATAAGAAGCCTTTTGATGGAAAAAGTGTACCTTTTTTGCAAGGGTTGCCTATGTCGGAACATAACTCCGGCTATATTTTAAAATTTATTAGAAAATTTGTTAATCGTATTAATTAATAAGTAAGGATTACTCACTGTTCATTTTTATTAACCATATTTATATATGTAAATTTACATCAATTATAAATTTATATTTAATTAATAAATTATTAGTTATAAATATTTATTTGAATAGAATGAATACTATGTTCATTTTTATCAATAACCCATTACAGTATTATAAAATGATGTGGCATTGGGTGGGGGTGGGGGGAATTGGTGCATGGATAAGGGGAGCAGAGAAAAAATCTGTACCTCAGAGTAAAATGTCAATTTTTCATTTTCTGGCTGTCAAAGTATTGGGCTTTTAGAATATTTGGTCAAAGGATTTAGTAGGGAAATGACGGAGGTTTACATATTAGATTTTGTTCCTGTACTCTCATAATATTTTACTTAAAAAATGTTTGGTCAATGCAATTACATAGGAGTGGGTAATTTGTAGGGGGTATTACATCACCTTCACAGCCTGATATTGGGTAGGATTGGTTTTTTGTGACGTACACCGATAGTACATTGTTGGGAAATGTTAGTCCATGTGCTACGGAGTGAATTTTCTGTACACTGTCACATTAGGAAGTTTTGCCAATGCATTAAGATACTGAGACTGTGGGTAGGTGGGGGTGCTTTGTAAGCAGGGTGGGAGTAGTGTTACGCATACTGGTAGGAATAGTCAAAATAACATTGATTAAAGGAGACCATAGTATTTTTCTAGAATTTTCATTGAGTAAAGATGTTTGTCTGTACAAGAATGTTTGTCTTTCAAAAATTTTCTTAATGGCTGGTTAACAATGTTTTCACATTAATGTTGCTTCTATTATTTTTTGTACAATCTAGGGGGCGTGTATTGGAGGAAAAAATGAACACCCCAGGGCGTTAATTTGAGGGATACGTTTATTTCAAATGTGGCTGTGGAAGGAGCCCTTATTCAAATAAATATTTGTATTTTAACTTTATAAAATGCAGTCTTTCACTATAGGCTAACACTTTACCCTTTAGCAGTCCCTAGCATACACTACATTTTACTCTACAGTTTGCCACTGATTTAGAAGGGAAAGGATGTTACAAGGTCCTCCCATGGAAACATTTTGTTTCCTAATTGATTGGATATGCATTTTCCTGCCTTCTCAAGGGTATGATATAAACTTTATATTTCTTCAAATTTCTGATAGTTTCATTGTGACTGGAGCCAGGAGTTGGGATGCAGTGTGAAGGCCTTGAAACAAAGCAGACTTGATGTTGTAGGAGAGGGGGTCCGGGCCCTTCACAGGATGAAGATTTTGTTTTCCATATGCTCAGATATGCACATTCCTGCATTCTCAGGGGTCTGAAGGACTATGTATCTTTCAATTTCAGAAATTATTCTGTGAGATTATGGAAAATTTATTAAATGGGAAACCTTAGAGAATCTACTGCTTTCTCACAGGGCCCAGAAAAATGATGATGATAATGATGATGAGGCTTTTACTTAAATTGATGATAAGGACTAGTTCCTTACTTCATTGATTAACAGCCATTCGCGTATTTGCGACAAATAAACCACCCATCGTAAAAAGACTAATTTCAGCTCTTGATAATTCTGGTTTTTTTAGCTTTTTTTAAATTTTATTATTTATGCTTTTCTTATAGTTAGTTTTGCTGTTGTCTGATGTTTTTTTATATGTGAATGTTTTTAGATGACTTTATCTGTAAATTTCGCATATTAAATGTATAAATATGATATGTAAAATAACATGAATTTTCACATTATTGGTCACAATGTTATTTGTTTGAATCAAAGTTGAAATAAAGTTAATTTTATATTACATTATTATTATAAAACTGAATTGAATTTTAATTATCTATATATATATGATTTTGTGTGTATGTATATAAAACAAGTAGTATATGTATATACTTAAAATCAGATTAAATTTCCTAATAAGGAAATCCCAGTAGCCCTGGGTAAGTCATCTGCTTAGAAAGCAGAAGATTCTGGGTACGAATCCCAATTTGGGCAACTTTTTCCACACTCAGATTCCTCTTAACAAAAACATTTTCCTTACAAAAACATTCGAAAATGCTTATGAATACAGTCTATTTATGTAGAACAATTTTAGTATAATGAATTCAAAATTTTAAAATTAAAATAGAAATACTCTTAATACAGTATACAGTATCAATGAACCATTGTCTCTTTGATTACCCTCATGTAGAGCATGAGGGTAATTCCCTAAGTTCCAGGCATTGTTTTTAGCTTTTGCTGTATTTGGATAGATTTATTTTAGCTTATCACACACATACATATGTGCTTGTATGATCAGGGAGTTGTTATAGTGGTATGATGAATGAATTTTGCTTTAAAGCTCTCTATTGATTCATCGTCGTTATAGTTTGAGATCCATTTCTAGTTTCGAGATGGGATCCCATTTTTTCTTGTACAATTTTTTTTTTTTTCCTTACAAAAACATTTGATATTTAATCTCTCTAGCAAAATTTGTAGTTAGTTCTCTTTCAAAGGCAACTACAGACTGTCGGAACTTGGAAAAGAAAGTAATTGGAATGTCCTTCACCTGTGGGCATCCTTTGATGAATTGCTGCAAATGATTTAAACCTGTTAATTTGAATACTTCAAGCAAAATGCGCATGTCATTTGGGTTCTGGATATCTTGTTTGATTAAACAGTTGAGTTGCCAGATCTGCATCAACACGTGTCTGTGCATCATCAAAACCTGGAGATCATCTTCATCCACATGTTCCGATTAGTTAATTAAAACTCCGGCTCATCCACAATACACTCTATAGAGGAATGACAGATAGGGTAAGTTACATTAATTGCTGAATTAAAAAGTATCATAATACAGGCAGTAACTATTGCTACACCAGTCTTAAGAACCTAAAGTAGAAGAGTAGCATCCGAAACCTACATGAAACCCACATATTGTACTCGGATCCCTTGAAAATGGAAGCCAACCAAGAGGAAGACCAGCCAAATGCAGGGATGACTGTAAGGAGGCCAGGACTTTTAACTGTACAGATAAAAGTCCCTGGTAAAGGTACTGTATACTGTCAAACGTGAGGGCTCATGTTTCTAACAGAAGCATGCAGAGTGTCAAAGCAGAAGAATGTGGCTGACTTGAATGAGAAGCCATCAGACAGCCAGTAGCTGTTGTAAACAGCTTAAGCCAAGTGATGTACTCAAATTGTTTGGTTAGTTTTAACAGTGGCGGATTTAGAGGGGGGCGTAAGGGGCGTACACCCCCTCTATTTTTTTTGTAAAAAATTGTTTTGTAAAGCTTAAAAAAATTACCATGCTAAATATTAAAAATCGATCAAATATCAACTCAAATTAATGAAGGTGCTAGAGGTTTAAGGGAGAATCTTCCCTTGCACCCCTACTAGGGGCTCTTTCCTGAGACTCTCACTTAGTTCGGACATTCACGCCCCCTCTTTCTTACCGGACTGGATCCGCCCCTGTTTAATGTAATCCCAATATCATGTATTGTATAGGTCATAGTAATTATATTATGTTTCATTTCAATTCATTTCATTTATTTTGTCCAATATAAAACACATTACAAAAACAAATGATTTACATCAAAAATGTTTTGATTTTATTTAGAAAACTAGAAAGAAGCTCATCATGAACATGTACTGTATATTAAAAGCATCTGCAGTAGTAATAAACATCTGCAGGGGCAGATCCAGCCAGTTAAGGGGAGGGGGAATACATGTACTAAGCTTAGGGCAGAGGCTTTGGTTTGTAAGGATCTTTCTTGAAGCTCTTGCAATCTCGTTAATTTAATGTATTTGATCATTCTTTGGTATTTAGCATGGTAATATTCCATAATATTTATTTTTTTTTTTTACAGAAAATAGAGAGGGACATACACCATTCTAAATCTGCCACTGAATCTGTATCAATAAGTGAACACTAAAATGAATACAGGTAAATACCAATCAAAGTTAATACCAATCACATAAAATTTAGTGCATGTAATTTCTTCATTCAAAAATAATGTCGAGTAAAAACAAATGCCACAAATCAGAATGGAGCGACTGGCTATGTTGACATGCTCCTGTGCCAATTACAAAAGGATATTATTTTGTGTATGTGGTCAATATTTATTTTAAAACAAAGGACAAATAATTTTCTAATGAGAAACAGACACTAATTACAAACCAATTGGCTTTGCAGGACTTCGTTCACTGTATTAGAACAGTCGGCAGAGTCTTCTCAGTCCTAGCTTATCTAACGCATGTTTGAAATCATCTAGTAACTTATCATCATCTGCCAGTATGAGATTATCTTCCAAGTCCATTATAAGTGACCACTTGTCACTGTATTGGCCAGGAAGCTCATAACGCTGTACAATCAACCTGATGTCACGGTCGATGAGTTGCATTCCAAAGGCCATCACAGACTGCCTGAACTTTGAGAAGTGAGTGATCTTGATATTATCAAGGCGTGGACAGTTGGGGATGTGGTTCCGCAAACGGAGTACACCGGTGAGCTTAATGGTCTCTAACATGCTTATATCATCTGCCTTTAGTTTGGCAGTGTCCCTCAGAGCATCAAACAGCTCAGTTGCCTCTGCTGCCTTATGTACAGTATTTGCATTCATAATTTTATCTTTGAGGGCCACTTTCCATATGTTAAGATCTGCACCAATGCTCTGTGAGACTGTTAGAAGCACTCTTGGAAATACTGACTCATCTACTGCAAAACCTGCAATTATCATAACATCAATTTTGTTAATCATTTTTCATTTAATTGTTACTTTGTATTACACAGTAAGCTTTAAAACTGTGCCATTGCCAACTGTTGCCACTCCACTTCCGGTCTTTTGTCAATCTAGCCCCCCTCCCCCACCGCCAGCTTAATCCTTTATTACCTGTCTGTCTCCCCATGTCAATAATGTACACCACTATATACTGTGACCTCAAAAAGCAGACACTTGTTAAATGCAAGTAGGTGGTCATGGTTCTATTAACAGTAAAACCCTTTTTTTAAAGTATTTAAAATAGGCCAGAAATTAATGTAGGCCAGAAAATAATGTAGGCCAGTAAACAATGTCGCATGTGTTGGATCAAAAGCTTTGGTGGGCCATGGTTGGCCAGCAGGTTGAATACCAAGGACCTTGGCTATTATGAATAATTACTTTATATGTAAAATATTAAGGTGGTTTTGAAATGTTTGCATTGTTTCGTGTCTAATGAGTGCTATAAAAATGTTCATATTATTATTCATGTATTTTAGTTTCTGTAGCTGATATGTTTTATCTATGTTTCATCAATTAAAGCTAAATTAACCCCACTAATAATGTTCATTAATAATTCATATTTTACACAAAAGTATTCACAGACTGCAGTGGATCTGCAAATGTAGTTAAAATGAATTGGATTCAATATTCAAGCTGTCATATAATGAATTTTGATTGATTCAATGAATACTGATATTAATTTTGTCAGTTTCCGGTTTTTAAATTAAATTTAACTGCTGACAAATAAAAAAGAATAGTAAGTTGACAACCTGTCTCTTATACACATCTAGATGTGTATAAGAGACAGGTGTAAATGCTGCTTGCAAAAAATGTTGTAGGTGTTTATAAATTATTGTATAAAGGGGCTGTAAATCAGTGAAAACATGTTTTATCTGTGTTTCAGCAATTAACTCGACTATGCCTATTACATTATTTAAAATACACAATTTTAATTGATAAGATTATTTAAAGTTAATACCAATCACATAAAACTTAGTGCATTCAAAAATAATGTCGAGTAAAAACAAATGCCACAAATCAGAATAGAGCGACTGGCTATGCTGACGTGCTCCTGTGTCAATTACAAGGATATTATTTTGTGTATGTGGTCAATATTTATTTAAAAACAAGGGACAAATAATTTTCTAATGAGAAACAGACACTAATTACAAACCGATTGGCTTTGCAGGACTTCGGTCACTGTGTAACTGTCGGCGGAGTCTTCTCAGCCCTAGCTTATCTAACACATGTTTGAAATCATCAAACTTATCATCATCTGCCAGTATGAGATTATCTTCCAAGTCCATTACAAGTGACCACTTGTCACTGTATTGGCCAGGAAGCTCATAACGCTGTACAATCAACCTGATGTCACGGTCGATGAGTTGCATTCCAAAGGCCATCACAGACTGCCTGAACTTTGAGAAGTGAGTGATCTTGATATTATCAAGGCGTGGACAGTTGGGGATGTGGTTCTGCAAACGGAGTACACCGGTGAGCTTAATGGTCTCTAACAGGATGCTGATATCATCTGCCTTTAGTTTGGCAGTTTCCCTCAGAGCATCAAACAGCTCAGTTGCCTCTGCTGCCTTATGTACAGTATTTGCATTCATAATTTCATCTTTGAGGGCCACTTTCCATATGTTAAGATCTGCACCGATGCTCTGTGAGACTGTTAGAAGCACTCTTGGAAATACTGACTCATCTACTGCAAAATCTGCAATTATCATAACATCAATTTTGTAAATCATTTTTTATTTAATTGTTACTTTGTATTACACAGTAAGCTTTAAAACTGTGCCATTGCCAACTGTTGCCACTCCACTTCCAGTCTTTTGTCAATCTATAGGCCAGAAGTAATGTAGGCCAGAAAATAATGTCGCACGGGTTGGATCAAAATCTTTGGCGGGCCAGAATTGACCAGCAGGTTGAATACCAGGGACCTAGGTTATTATGAATAATTGCCTTATATGTAAAAATGTCGAGGTGGTTTTGAAATGTTTGCATTGTTTCGTGTCTAATGAGTGTTATATAAATGTTCATATTATTATTTATATATTTTTGTTTCTGTAGCCGCATTTAATTGTTGTTGAGGTTTTAATCTGATTCGCTGATACTGATTCCATTGAGTATTTCAAGTGTTTTTTTTTTATAGCTTATAAATACAATCAAAATATTTAAGTACAATCTGTGTTCTTCTACTTTAGTAAGGTAGTTAACACTGATTAGGTTAGGCTAGCTTAACACAAAAGCATAAATTTACTTTTAAATATTCAATAAAAAATAACACTAATAGATTCTAATAAATAGAATGTTCAAAAATCATGTAAGAAACAATAATAATAGAGTACAATACAACCCGGAGCCAAAAAACTTAAGGGGTGTTGGTGGGCGCAGTGGCGTATCTACAGTAGGGGTGCGCATTTTGAGAATAAGCACCCCTCAACTGATCCTCGAGCCCCTCCCCCTTCACATTCCCATCCCCCATCAGCACCCCCATTTCTAAACTTCTAGATACACCGCTGGGTGGGCGCTAAATAGTATAGGGTGGAAACTGGCCAGGTGCAATAGCCACTGGACAAGAGGACAAAAAACTGGGTTACAAATGGTGTAAGATATTAAAGAACCAGCTAGCAACAAACCAGATACCACCAATTGGCTAAGTGGCAACAGACTAGGTATAGTAGAATGTTGTGTAGCAATATTGGCCATGATGCAACAGGCATTTCAACTTTACTGAACTTCCATATGATTTATCATAAAAAATATAACACAAATCCTTAGTAATTACATTATAGAATGATTTACTCATCTTTCAAATATACCATTATAGCAATAACAAATAAAAGTTTTGAAAGAAAAAAAGTATGCATGTATTTAAACAAATAATTATGTAATAATCCCTACCTCGAGTTGACACTGGAGCGACTTTCTTGAAGTCTTCTTTTTGGGCTTTAGAAAAGAAAAGGAACTTTATATTTATATTTTTCATTTGTATCAACTTTTTTACTTTCTCCAACTAATTTATTATACCAACAAAGCTCATATTATCATTACGAAAATGTCTTTTGGCCTTTTTTGTTCATCCTGATTTATGAAGTCCTTGGAAAATTGGTATCAATCAATAGAAAATTCAAAATTCAAAATAGTATAAAATAATCGGCTCTCATTTTGCCCACTGCTAGGTCCGCCACTGATATCTTCGGTACACTTCTGTTTTTCCTCCCTTATTAATTTTTTTCTCCCTCTTTTTAAAATATTTTTCGGCAGGACTAACGTGGGTGGGGCCCCTAAACACCCCTGTGGCTCCCCGCTGGACCCCGCTTCCAAAAGATGAATCTGTCACTGTGATCATGAGGTTGTCTGTCTGTCTGTATTTCAAAAAAACATAGGAAAACACAAGAAGGGCACTTTAGATCCATTAAATTCTGATTTCGTAAGTCATTAATATTACATAATGGCTTTATTTTATACTTGTACGCCTAATTGTATCAACGTGTTATATTGTTTTGTGTGCTGAGTCACTTCTTTTTTTTAAAGTGCATTGTGTCATCCAGTGGGTATTAAAATTAGCTCTTATTTCTTCAAAATATACTAGATCTATGTTTTGTTTGCATACTTCGAAACAAATTTAAAATTTTGATTTACAGTATTTGAAATTGATGAACGACAATGTTGATAACGACAATGATTACGACGATAGGCCTAGTGATGATATTGTTAGCTGTGTTAAGATAACTATAAAGAGAGTAAACTTTACACGACAAATGCAAACACTCCTTTTCTAATAATAAATTATGCGCCAAACAATTAAATACACGTTGGGGAGGTATTGGTGTACAGTCACAGACCCTATGTCTGTGATAATATAATTATAAATTTTCTTTGTCGATTTTCGTATAACCAGTAACAACCAATCACACAAAACACAAAGTATAATTACATTACATTACGATGGATTTTAATGGTTCTATCGCAGACGTATTCAGCACAGTGACCATGCACCCCAACCAATAACTAATTTTTATCTTCTGGGTGGAGAGAACCAACTAAATTTCCTTGTAAAATAACTATCAATCAAAATAAATAAATAAATATATGTATATATG